CCTATCTATTCATTAGTAGTTTTCAGTATAATTTTCTTTTGTTTACTTATTAGAACCAACAGTATATCTGAGCTACTTATTTATCTGTAGCTTTAAGATGAACTGATTGCCTATTCACCGCTGCGGCATATAAACCTACCCCCATTTCTTCTATTTATATACTTCATTTCTTTTTTCTATTGCTTGTTAGCCACTATTATGGTATAAAAATAAACCTCCATTTGAGTATGTGCCTACAATTGGTGAGTAAGGAATTTATCTCTCTTTGTATACAAAACCTTTGAATTTACATAAGTTGCTAATGAATTTTCTAAAAAATAAACAGTTATGCATTGTATCTAAACGATTTCCGACCTTAATGACTAAAATTTATTTAAGCCAGTAGGCTTCTAATGATCAGTAGTTAATTAGAAACAATATTGTAGTGACGAAAGCGCCTATAGTTTAAAATGGAAAAGAAATACAACCTTAATGGATAGTTAGGTAGAATGTGATAGAAGATACGATAGGTACAATAAGATAATAAAATACTTTTATATAGAGCATAGCTAATAACGCTAAGTTAAAAATCCGCAATTTAATGCACGCATTTTCAAGTCATTAAAAACGTACAGCAAAGATATACTCCTTCGATACTACAGGAATCACCCAGAAACTATATAATTACTAATAACCAAAAATAAACAAGTGTCCACTGTGTACTTCATCTCAAAAAAATTACTATCAATCCTGACAAAATTAATATGAGGCAAATACGGTAGGTACTCGTATTTAGACAATATCACGTAACATGTACATAACAATTTGTCGAAATTATAACTTACCGATCATAGTCTGATCTAAATAAGAAGTAAATAAGTACTAAATCCAGTGAGTCGAAACAACATCATAGGTACCACAAATACTTAAAAGAGCTTCCCTATATAAGAAGATCCATATATTACTAATTAAGTTCTTGCTGAAGGTTTCAAGGTTCCCATAATATTTATACATAAAAATTTAGCGTGAGAGTCATTTTAACTGTACTGAGCCTAAACCTAATTTCGGGTAACATAGATGCATTTACTGCATCATCATTAAATTCCAATATCTTGTTTGTCTCTTATATTAAGTGTTAGAATTTATAATTGACTAGATGGCGCCATGATGGTAATACTCGAATAAGTTTCGTTCTAAGTAAAGGGTAATTGCTTATGGACATCATTACTTTTTCGTTTCTAGTAATTTCCACTGCCTATAAATATTTTTTTGTGTTAGTTACAAAGATTTCAATAATATTGGTTATTGAATTTGATATATTTAAAGATTTTTATAGCATGTGGGATTGCAGCTTCGCGCATGTTTTGCTGTGGATCACCAGTCTAACGACAATAATAGCTAAACGCTTACTTTACGTAGATTGTGTTAATATCATGGTTCAAACAAAAGCTTTGTGTTCGATGATGACACGTAGGTATAAGTAGGTCCACAGCAATTTGACCAAACGGAACTTGTCTTAATATCGCCCCCGGCCACCTTTCACTTTTTAGTCACTCCACAATCAATACAATCTTTTCGCTGTATTATATTGAATTATTTAATACTATCACGCATTAAAAATAAGGTTCATATTGAAATAAAATATTTTAAGCACAAATTATATATATGTAGGTATATTCGAGTTTTGTAGGTTGCGATAAGATACAAAGATCAATCTTGTTTGTCTTAGAAAGTTGTTATGCCTAAAATATTAGCTTTTATAATTATGTAGATATTTACGTTATATTACGTGATCATGTAAATAGTACTTACTAGTAATATATTGTACTTTTATGAATAGATTAACTGGAACTTTAAATTAAGTTCCAATTAATTATTAGTAAGTAACTTAGACAAGTTCCGTTGTATTGCGGTGTGCGTACCACTCTCAGCTTTCATAGTTAGCAAATTCGGTCATGTCATGTCTATATTTGTGTAATTAATTAACTAGTATAATTAATCGGAGTCTAAACTTAATAATGTCAATCCCATCTTTGCACTTTTTCATTAACGACATCGCTAATAGAATACTTTGTGTATAAGCTCTGACCTTCAGCTGTAATCACTTTAAGTATACGGGGCTTACTAAGTTACGTTCTCACGCTCACGAACAGGGTGGCATGAATAGGTTACATACTCGTACGACAGCGAGCTCGCCCCTTCCTTTTACACCCGAGATACATAAGATTAGTACTTCAAGCTGGATTAGAATTAATAGCACGAAATGGATAAATTATTTAATCCTGCATCTCCATCATTATATAGGTACATACATATATGAAAATAAAACATGTTAGGAAAATAAATTACATGAGGTTGATTAACATTACATAATTAAAGTTTTATGGATTTTTCAATAGGAATTAAAGGATTATCAGTCGATAACTTCACATTAGAGCCGTTCTGCGTATAGGAATCATACATGGACCACTGTAACACAAAATCATACCTACCGCAGTTTATTGTCATTTTCACGTAGTACTAAATCAAAAGTAATATTCTGCCATAAACAACAGTTATCTCGCTTTATACAAGACTTATTTCTTATGGTACTAGTTATTCAGCTAATAGTTAATTTCTTATGCTAACAGTTATAGTTAAAAATACCGCAATTTAGTTAAATAGTATTTGTTTTATACACTCCTAAGCACCTTCCCGAAGTGAATCAAAATCTCAAAAACTACTACTGTGCTAGTTTTTGTGTACAGTAAAGATAGACAAGTATTCAGGATACGGTTGTGAGAAAATATCAGTTGTTATAACAGTTATTATATTAAATTTATGTATCTTTAAATAAGGCTGTAATAGGAATTACTCATTGATAGTGATTCTACATCGTAATTACTTAAGTTCCACTAACATTTCACGTTAAAAAATGTTATAAGCTAGAATTTAAGAAGTATGTAATCTCACTTAAGAAAACATTGTGAGGCTATTACGGAAGAGTAAATCAGTACAGAGGTGATTAATGTTCAAAAATAACCTTTAAACCGCTCGTATATGATGATGAGAAATTTTATAGATAATTTCCACAACATATTATAGAGTTTTATAAACTCTAGTTGTTATAAAATATGTTTATACTTGTACTGATCTTTTGATAATTTACATAGAAGTATAATAACAGTTAAGAGAATATTACCGCAAAATAATGGAGCTCTTAAAAAAAATGTGTACAATCAACAACATGTTCTGAACCGTTCATAAATTTTTAAATACCTCTGCATAATCACATAGAGATTGCCTTGTACACTGCTACATTATTAAGTGAACAGGTTATTCAACGGTTTTCTCTTGCTCTAAAGCGTAACGGTAGGTAAGTATGTATAAAAATGTAATGCTAATCCGATGAGTGGATATCTGATTCGATATGACTCTATGCACAACCACTATGTTTTTGTACATGTTTTTATTGGGATATATTATTAACAATCCAAAAGAACCCGAGTAACACCGGTGAAATTTATTCATTATCAAGTTATGTTTGAAATTATGGTCGTGGCTGGATATGTCAATTATCTATGTTGACCGTGATGTTTACTATCCGAGACCACCGTCTGAGATTAGAATCTTGAGCATTTTTATTCAACGTTTTAAGTCCAAGTTATAGTCATACAAATATTTCTAATATATTAAAATTTCTAGTATTAAATATATAATATTTTTTTATATTCTTCAGTATACTGTATATGTTATTTAAAACCCCAAATTTACGCCTAACTGGTTAGTACTATCGGTTAACTATGTCTAAGAATTATCTACAATTAATATGCAGATTATTACTTGTGTCTATTATTTAAAGTTAATTATTTAAAGTGTCGCATCATACTTTTTTGTATTAACAGCAAGTGGTAAATAATTAAAACGTCAACGTTGAACGTGAATGCGTTGATCATTTTATCTCTCGCATAAATTCTTCACCGTCGGTCTCAACTTCGCACAAAATATCAACAGCATAATAAAAATAAAATATTCAAGTAAAAGCGATTGTATTGTTCTTTTTCGCCGCCTCACATCTGCGGACTGTCGCTCGGTAGGTAGTTATAGTACAATTATAAACGCTTTCACAATTTCGACAATCTCCGAAATGGACAACTTTACCGACGCGACACAACGAGCCTTCATCTGGTCATATATAGAATCGTGCAATAACATTTTTCGATCAGAGAAATGAAAATTCACAAACAGCTTTCTGTTATAACATGTGTAACTTTATTTTTTTGTTAGTTACCTAGTAACTATTATTTAATCTGTTAGAATTGTATGTTTTTCAGCATGCATAAACTTAAAATACATACGTGGGATCGCCATCATTATGACCAAAACTTGACACGAGTCTCTCGTAAGAGGACTTACCCTATTTCTATAAAGATTTTAATTTGATATTACTATCTGCACAAATCTATGTGTTCTTTGTACACCTAGTAGTCAATAAATAGAAGAAAACTGACATATTATATTCTTGCTTGTTCACCGCAGGGAGGGAAGGTCCATCCTCTCAACTCTGTAAGGACGCTTCTTTTGTGACTTATATAATAATAATCATATTCTTGGGCAATTCACACAGCGCCATTTAGTCCCAAGTTAAGCAGAGCTTGTATAATGTGTACTGGACAACTGATATAAATACATAGATACTTTTTTGTAAATACATACGTAGTACATACGTAGAAAACAGCTAGACCGATACAAAACAAACATACTCATGTATACAAATGTTTGTACCGTGTGAGGAATCGAACCTGCGATCGTCGGAAGTAAAGCGGTGTGCTGCAGCAGTAGACCACCGAGGCCGTATATTATTATGCATCACTTGTCTGAGATTGCTGACGAGTTTATAATATAAAATTGGAATAGTGAAATAAAAATTGTGTAAAATGTACAAATACTGTATATTTACAAAGCTTTCTCGTAACTTATAAATTAAACAAAGTCTTCACTTATATTCTAAGTATCACGAATTAACAGTAGTCCATAAATTATTAAATATACATTATATAATTACGGCTATGACATTAGTATAAATTATAAAAATATTAAATACTCTAAAAAAAATTTGTGCCATAATTTCTATTCTGGTACCAAAATTTGTTATTTAAATAATAATAACTTAATTGATATAACAATAGAATATTTTTTATTAATATACTCGTACTTCATTCTAAAGCTCTTATGTACACCAAAGCCGTCGTTGAAAACTGTTTGTAATCTAAAAATAGGTAAAATTATTATCTGTTTTCTATACGTTACATACGAAACGATCTGTCTATCTTTTATCTAAATTAGTCAGCCCACTGTTTATTTTTATTGGAATTCAAGCGAGATCACAGTAACAATACGGTAATCAACTCACACTAAAACCTTGTAATGTATTTTTATTCATTATATATATTTTAATATCAATAAAAATATACTATATTTTTTAACAAATTTGTTATATATCTATAAAAAAAACTTGAAGTAGTCTTAACATATAAGTCATCACAGTTACCAACATGAGTATCGTGTATCATCAGGTAGATTATCATCTTGATTTCAATTCCTATAAGAATTATAAAACAACAAGGAATTTATAGAAATACTAGGTGTATTTAATGGGTTTTATCAAAAATATGTTAAGAGAAATAAAACTGTTTCTATTATCATAACAAATAATGAAAATTTATAGAAACTTAATATCAGTATCACAAATTAAATAAGTGCGTGAGTGACTCACAAATGAGCAAATAATTGGTAACAATAACTTTAATATTTTAAATTATATTAGAAAATACTCTGGACCGACGTAAGAACCACACTTTGGGAAGTCTGAAGGCGCTTGTACAAAGTCTTTCTCGTCGCCAACTTTCAGTACAAAGTCTAAGCCCCTAGTCCAGTGGGTGGAACGTTCATCCCTCATCATCCAGTAACCTGGATTGTCAGCTTTAAAACGCAAAGCGACTACCCCAAATTTAGGTACTACTATAGTATCTTTTAATACTGGGTTTACAACATTTATCGAAGGGAACAATGTGCCTTCTTCGTTCATTTTCGTCACTTCCTCCTCACTTAAACTACGGTTGAATTCTCTCACGCCGATCACGTAGAAACTGTACCCGTGCAAATGGAATATATGGTCCGATTCACCCCCTGTAACAAATAAAATGGACATTACCTTCTTTGTTATGATATATCTACGTAGGCACTTTATATATTATCTACTGTATTAACAAATGTGTAATTATTTATAGACTAATTCTTCGTTCACTTTTATATTTTCGTGTTTTTCTTGAAAATTAGTACTTGACTATGTAACAACGAACATGATATTTATGGTACATTGCGAGAACCGGGAAGTACACATGTATGTTGTAATCCCACAGATTATCTAAACTATACCTAAAGTAATGGTTTGCGTCATAAGTGTTACCGTCATATTGCGTAGATGTATATTATTATGGCTACAAAAACCTAATTACAGACATTCTCTTCAGTTACAATTCCATAGATTATAATTTTATATTATAGTTATGATACTTTAATAATCTTTATATTTAGTTCTTGTTTTGAATTTAGACTTCTGGTATCACTTTAGCAATCTGTTAGTCTACTTTCTGTTTATAAGTTTTTTTAAATTATCAGTTAGTTAGTCTATAATATATATATATATAGATTCAATTAGTCTCATATTCTTCAATAATACCACAAATTTAAAATTAATATTTGGACGATGTTAGAATGAAATATTTCATTTTACTGTATTCCGTGTTATTTCCATTTGTAATATATAATTAATTATAATCTATCGTTTCTACCTATAATTAGTTGTTCAATTATATATAAGAAATTCTGTCTACAAATCAACTAAATAATTTAAAACAAACACGTCGTTGACAAAATGACGGAAGTCTATTATTGTCAAGTAAAGTAATACAACAAATGTACAAATATGAAAGAGACGAATAAGTTAAATATAAATTTTCAGTAAAACATTTTCGACGAATAGAAACATCTGTGTTTCAGCTTTTGAATAAATCAAGCCTTAGTTCGTGGCGAGTGCCTCGTCCCAACCGCCGGCTACTCTTCAATCATGCATTCTCTTTAACATTCCTCTTCTACTGTTAGCCTGTTTAAATAACGTCTACTGGTGTTAACGCAAATACACAAAAACCGCAATTAGCATACCTAGATTTAATCATTTACTGAAACTTTAATGCACACAAAACTACAAAAAATTGTATTTATAATATGTGAAAGTAAACTCTAAAACCACGGATCCAATTTGAGAAATTCTTTTACTGTGTTAAAGATAACATTATTCCAGAGTGAAACGCAAATACAAAATCCCCAAAGTTATAAGCACACATGCGAAGCCGATGTAAAATACTAGAGCAGTTAAGGTGACTTTTGATACAATATATTCTGGCAGTCAACCACAGAGTAAAACAGAGATTTATTATAATAAAATAGTTGATAGAAGATTGAAGAGAAATCTATTACTGTCAGACTTTGCCGGCTGAACACTGAGCGGAACTGAACCTACATACGATTTCAAATATCACTTAGAATATAAAATAAATATTGCATGAATTGCGTATTGTAAGAAAACGTTATATATAGTACTCCTTATGTTATTGAATATTTGCGAATCCAGAAGGCAAATGTAACCCATCTCAAGTCATATCCTGAGGTTAACCGGGTCTATCGCACCATGGAGTGAATTTTATTTTATATGCTGACTATTGCTGACTCTGGACAAATAGATACTTGTAAAGTTATTCAAATATTTATAGCAGTATGTATTCCACCACGCTACTCTGTGTGTATATATTTCTTATTTTTTCGTCGTTTTTTCTCTTTAAATATGTATGCCGATATAAACTTTAAAGTGTATGTATCCAGTTTAAAAGTCAGCATTTATTAGTAATGAGTTGATATTGATTTTAAAATGCCGTTAGCTTTGTTTTGAATACGATTTTTTAAATTAACTTAATTAAATGAACGAAATTATATTTCTTATAATATATAAAAAAAAGGAAATACAATATAAAACATGATGACAATATCAAGAGTAAAAAAATCTTTTACAAATTTGATATAGACTGATCTAATATACTATAAGGTACATACAATAGTATTCTTTAGGGATTATGAAATATCATAATCCCTAAAGAATACAATTGTGTGCCGTGAAGACATTGAAAGCCACAAACGCAAGTACCTATGTACAAGGTTTGAGTATTGTGGTACCTTCTTGTGAACGCACTTTATCTGCTATAAAATCTCCGATGGCTTCCGCAATTAAAAAACCACAGATAATTTAAACCGCAATACGCCATAAGGGTATTGAATAAAATCTACAAGTAAAATAAGATAGAAGTACAATTGAATCCCAAAGGAGTCGACGGTCGGCAAATAATATTCGTGACATGATCCTATTGCTTATGAAAATAAAGATAAAAGAAGACAACAATTCTTCCTGCTCTTAACACGTATGTATACCGTTTGTAACTTAGTAACATACGGCATAGGCTGTCAGTAATCGCTGTGATATTCTCACATCATATATAACTACAATCACTCAACACAAAGAAAGAGCCAAGCAGCGAAAATGCAAGTCATAATTGATAATAGTTAGCCAAGATATAGGTTGCGAGGTCAACAGTTACTATTCAGCCTTTACTTCAACATCTGGCATTATTACTGTTACTGAATCACTTATAAATATATATATATATTTTTAGAACCCTAACTCGTATTGTTACTTAATAACGATCACCTTGTTATTGTAGTCTGAAATACAGAATACAAATTACTACTATTCTCCATGGTGCAATTATAGCTATCGAACGAGTATTTGTTCTACCAAATTGTTCCAATTTTATTTATATTGCGAAATGGATAAACAAACAAATATACGTCTACTAGGATTTCTGTTTGTTCTACTTAAAAGATATCCTACATTCCTTCTCGTGATACTATGTATATATACAATTACATAGCAAATTCATTATTAGGATCCGTTCAGCCTTTTAGTTCGTAGAAGAAAAATTATCAAAATACGAGCCATGCATCTTTCTGTATTTGTTAACCGAAAAAATATGTTATACTAAAATAAATTTCTAATCAAATTACAAATAATCTGAAATTACTCTGACGCCTAAAGGCTGAACAATTATATAATTATTGCCTTTCTAAGTTGTTTCTCTCATAGACACATAACTACCATAAAATATTCGAGAAAGTTACAACGATGACAATCGTTTCGGCATATCATTATATTTTTTTAAGTATTATTATTATTTTATTTCTTAATGTTAGTTTTCCTAATAGCAATTATTATAAAATTTTAATCGGTTCTTAAAATTAATAACATATTCATAGCACATAAAAAAAAAGTGACGCTGTTTATGTTACTCTGATATTATTAAAGCTGTACTATCTCTTTCTGGGTCAATAACGGTTGTTATATTTGCTATTGAGAAATAAATCTAATACTGATTACACGAATTGTTTTTAATTGTTAACAATATATATTTACAATTGGAAAAGTATAGCCAATTTTTTTTTAATTAAATTGAAATAGGTAAAACTGATTTTGGTAAGTTGAGTATGCTAAAAATGTCCAAAAACAGTCAACCGGCCAACTGTTTAATATTTATTTGCATTCAAAATTTCTATTTACAGGTATTAATATACATTACTGCATTCGACATGTAATATAAGTTATTTTTTATTCTTAGTAGGCAAACTTATTTTACATAATGAAATTAAAAAATTTACGATTGGCAATTTACCTTTATACCAGGCTCCCTCTTAAGCGTAACGTACATAAATAGGTCCTTAGGTAATTCTCAATTAAGATAATTGAGGAAATCAACTTGACAAATTGAATTACTGAAGTTAACTTTCGAAATCTGAATCTGAGTTGTACTCTACATACACCAGCGAGTAGTCAGCAGCAAAAACTTAATACATTCTAATATTTACGATATACATCGTTTATTTTCACCGACTTTAAAATGAGTATGATCTTCAACCGAAATCGTCGAAGCGTTGTGTTATATATATTTGAAATGGCAGAAATCTAACAACCAAAGAAGCTGACCGATTTTTGATCACCTATATTCATGACTAGCAATATGGATGTCACATTGTCACGTGACGCCCTCTATAACACTCATGCATTGCCATTCTTGAGGACTAAGATGTCTCTTGTACCCTAAATTCATTGCGAATAATTATATATTGTACATAATTCAACGGAAACATATCTTATAAACAAAAATTCTTTCTACGTTCATTCAGTCATTTTTACAATTATATTATTATAAAGATATTATTGAAATATTGTAGTGTTAGGTCTCAGTGGGATCATTCAATTTTGTTTAATGTTAAAATTGTTTCATTTTTTCGTGCAAGCACTAATAATATTCTAGAAAATAATAAAGCTAGTTGTAAAACTTGTAGTACACATAATTTGGTCAAAAATAAAATTAACTTTCTAATTTGTTAACATGTGGAATATTTACTCTTCATAGTGCGAACAGATTTTTATTTGGTTAGTGTCTAAGTGCCAATATGAATATTTATTACTAATATCTACTGAATAGGAAACGATGGCATATGATGATCCGTAACTTTATCCGGTAAAAAGTAAATGTAAGTTACATACTCTAATCTGTATTTATAAAGAAACCCGTTTCTTTTAACTAAATAGCCCAACAACCAAATCGAGACTAGATATTGAATATGGATTGATTCTATTATGTAGGTGAGGGTTTAAAAACAAGTCAAATTTCTACTTTAATTTATTATGTTTTATATAATTAGCTGTCACATATAAAAACATGATACAAATAACTCTAAAATATTAGAATTTGTTGGTGGCCGTCTATGTACCTAAATACACCCACAGCATTTACGTGATCATGTGACGCCAGTAACACCACTTATGCGTTGCCATTCATTCAAGAGAAATTATTGAAACGAAACATAGCTTACAAAACAAGTTACTTGGCGACTGAGATAGGAACCCACGCCGACAATTTTTTAAAAAGTCTACCTCGATGTAAATTAAAAATAGTTTAACTCAAAATATATTTCCCAAGAAAAATACAAAAACAAACCGGTAATCATGTCGGATACAAATATATGAACGACGATCTACTCGTAACATACAGCCAAATGATATTTCCTGTAAGACAAAACTTTACTTATACACACCCACATAACATTCCCAAGCACACAATCCGCACGTATTTGTCAAACAAGAACTAGGCGAGCGTGACTATTTACTCTCAAGTACTGTAAGACACCTTCCGTTCTTTAACAATATTATAGCAAGTGTTGTTTCTAACTTTCGAAGATGGAAACTCATATACTTGTGCTAGTAAAATACAAACTTATAAGCATTCAGTTTGAATGCTTATAAATTTGTTATGGCATCTATCAACTTTATGTGACGTTTACGGACAAGCATTTTCTATAATTATAAGAGATTAGATACACATTGATTTTGAGTAGATACTCATAAATGAGTCTTGAAATTCAATTTTCTAATCAGAATATTCTGCTTAAACAAATATACAGTAATAAAAAGTATTTTTATTTCTCATAGAACAAAGTCTGAACAAGGACTACCTTCGGTACGCGAAACCGGAATGGCATTTCTTCTTGTTGAAATAGGAATTATTTACAAATTAGAAGAAAAGAAAAGAAAATTAGACGTCTTTATAAATATATGAGTGGATATACTCGTATCGTAAAAATTACTAATACTTGATGTACGTCTTTATAATTTGTTTAAGCATATATACAGTAATAAAAAGTATTTTTATTTCTCATAGAACAAAGTGAACAAGATACCTTCGGTACGCGAAACCGAAATGGCATTTCTTCTTGTTGAAACAGGAATTATTTACAAATTAGAAGAAAAGAAAAGAAAATTAGACGTCTTTATAAATATATGAGTGGATATACTCGTATCGTACTCTTATACGTTCTAAAATTCTACTAATACTTGTTGTATGGCATACATGTTTCTGTCCACGGTGTTTTAAATATAAAAGAGCCTCCTTAAAACTGCATACATATTGCTTTTCTATTGCATTGTAATATTATAAAAATCACCATAAACTTAGTCCGGGGCGCTGAGCGAATCGGACTTGCATTTGGCCGGTTTTTTTAATCTAAATATTACTTTCATATTCTACGATATTATAAATGTGAAAGTTTTAGATGTGTGGTATAACATATACTCGCCTATGTTACTCAATCACGTAACTAAAGCCATAGTAAAAATTGATCGGGTTTAAATGAAAGAGCGATAGAGAGGATTTTTAACACAATGTCATTCCGTGTATTTGAGAGTAAAAATTACTTAGAATTCGTAATTATACTTCTACAAAGTTCGAAATATATATTATTCATGCTATAAATAGTCTTGACAAAAAGAGACAAGCTGAAATATTGTGACAAGAAATCTTTAATAATTTACGCCTATTGTCTTGTGAATTTTTAACGAAAAATAAAACAGTCTTGCGAGACAGTTAATTAAAACAAAAAAAAACATTTTATCTTTTCATTATTCCGGTATACGAAGCAAAATGAAATTTCCTTAATTTTGTTGCTCTTGAAACGTTCTTTTTTACTAGAAAGCTATAAAATATTTTTATAGGAAAGTATACCCTTGCGAGAACTTCTTCTATCTCCGCTGAGTGCATATAGAATAGCTTTACATAAATGAGGACCCTAGTTCGTTGCCATTGTCAGTCTTTTTGAAAGATTAGGACAATAGAAAGTTAAAATGGCTATTTGGTGTTTAGTTTGTACAATTAATAAGACGATTAATTTTATCTACACAATCAAATTTAATCGGGAACTCGCGCTGAGGGTCTAATAAAAAGAGAACTAGTATCATTTCAATGGCCCCAGTCGCAACAACAAAAGGATATGAATTGTATTACGATTCGTTTAAAACAACTATTTTAACCCCACAGGAGACGTTAAGTTCCGCTTTAACGAAACTACGAATTTCAATTATACACAAACAAAATTATTACAAGTATTTAATAACTAGCTGACAAACCTATCTTCTGATATATTTTGGGAACACTGCTTTGTTATGAAATTGTGTACTCAAACCTCAACTTTACGACCCACTAAAGTGTCCAGGCGAAAAAATTAAAACCTACAACATCTTTTGCGTTAATCATGTCGACCTCAGTGATCTAATGCTATGACTCTGTAGTACACCTTATTCAGATGATTCAAACTCGCGGGGAGTTCGATTCTCGCATGTTGCAAATTTTTGTATTCATGAGATTCTGTTTGTTGTATCTGGGTGTTTTCTAAATATACTATATAATTATTATTTAGTACTATGTAATAATAATTAAAATATGCCTTTCCAGTTACCTAAAAAACAAAGATACAATAAGATTAAACAGGATCAACCTAATACAATAAAACCACTTACCCTGATCGAACATCACGAGTTCGACGGTAGAATGTAATTTGATATTCTTCACGTGCACACACTCATCTCCGTGTCCCTCGCTTTGGGGACACAAAGCGTCGGGGGGCACGTCACTGCCTTGCGTCAGTAAAGGGGACGCGGGATATGTGAACCGATGCCCGCTGGTTTGCCCCCAACTCTCTGGAAAAATCAGAAAAGGTCCTTAAAATAACATGCATCTAAGTTATAATTATTTAATTTTTATTACTTAACAGTATCAAGAGAGCAAAGATTGTTAATATAACAAATTATTTATAAGAACGTCTTACTTATTAAAGTATTTTAAAATACAGGTATTTTCACGTATACAGATATAAATATAAAAGACACAGCGCAGGAAATTCTAGTTGCTTGGGAATTGAATTTGGAATGATAGTTGCATTCAATATTCTTATCCTACATAATGTTATGAAAAAAATATTTCAATTCTTTTTAAAATAGAGGTATACATATATGACTAAGTTAGGAAAGATTTTGAAAATGTATTTAATTCGAAGCGATATAATTACTTCTAAAATAATTTAAATTACAGGCAATATCAACTACTAATATTATAAACTAGTATTATATACACAGAACAACTTCAATGTTGTGTAATTTTGATGTACCGGCTATTAAAGACTTATCTTAATCACACAAATGCTTAATAAGCATAATAATTGATTAGGTTTTCAAGGCGCCCAGACGTAACAAATGAACAATCACACACTTTCATATTCATAATATTAGTAAGGGTATATATATGTACACACAATATTCTGTTCCGGAAGGGAAAATTACTCAATGATTCGATATCAACGCTCGGCTGCTTAAATAGGTGCCTACTGTCAATGTACACTGGTATGTACTATAGCAACTGTTACAAGATACTAATACCAAATATAATATTGCTATGCCAACTACTGAATATATTACTTTACTTACCCGATCAAATAGTTTAATACCTATACCTAATGCCACAGATCAAATATTAATCCATATGCTCTCGACAATTTGTCGTCTACGTTTTATGTAAATAGACTAGGAATCAAACTGACGGCCAACCCAAAGGTAAACATCGCCTATACATTAGAGCGCTAAGGTAATCAGCCCTTCATGCATTGCATTCCGGAGAGCTAAGATGTTATATTATGCATTTGTACCCTGTAATTAGTTACCCTTATTATGTTACCTATACTTTAAATGCTTATTGATTGTTTGTTAAATGTTTTATTACCGATATTATGTTTTAGTATCTACCAAAATCCAATTTATATTTTGACAATGACAACCTTGGTGGTAATATATAACGATTTAGCACACCGTTATTTACTTGTTACTTTCGGAGCAAATATTCGTTTTCATGAGAATCTCATGATAATTGTCGGTTTAGGTGTTTTCTATGTATATTATTTTGCAAAAAAATATTCAAGCTCAGATTAGGTCTGATCTACATGGCGCTGTTTGAATTATCTAGAATTATTATTGCTATATTTTTAATTTATAAGCAAAGTATTTGTCATAGAATTGCAAACCTAAATTGTATACAAAATATTTTTATATCCCACTATTAACTAAGCAAAATGGAGGTTGTTTATAAGTATGACTGTCTTTCAAATTGTAGTTACTGGTAGATACAAGTTATTTCGATTTCTGTTTTAAATAACAGTCAAGCAATAGAATAGCTACTTTTATGTTTATTAAAAACGATTGCCAGAAGCCAAATTACTTATTCATAACGTTTAATTGAACATCTGAGAAACGAACAAGGGATATAAAGGGTAAAAGTGTCATAAACTGTACATTCCTGTGTAATTTCATTTCAAATAGAGTTTATTGTCAATCAACACAATAGAATAATGATAAATTTTATGTACAATGCAATAAACCCTTGAAATGTTTATCTTGTTCATAAAAGCAAGTATATAGAAACCTATATAGAATTGTAATATCTAAGGATTATATTACACTATCAAGTATCACTATGTCAAAACGAATCTTGGAATCATAAGAAGATACACATACAACACAAAACAATAAAGTACATTATTTAGATTTAGTAAATTTTAAATTAGCAAAGTCTTTTATGTATTTTAATCGTCAACAAATAACATTTGAAATGTACACATTTTACTATGTATATTTGAATCGGACATTGTAGGAGAAAGCCTATGGAGACCTACGTTTTTTGGAATAATTTGGTTCAATATCATTATCTGTTAAATGAAAATGAATCAGAACATAAAATTGTTTTAGTATTGAAAAAAGCATCAACTTACAACCTATAGTTTCTATAAATATAGTAAATCACTAAGCCACTTGCCTAAAGATATCCCTAATAAAGTATGTATTCTTAGGTATATTGCGATATGATTGTCATGTCACAGGTATGTAGTTTTTATGAACCACGTTTTTAGAAAATGGTTTACTGTTTTTACAATTGCATCTGTTCTCTACATATGACCTAATTTATATACTGTGTGTATAGTGTTGTATACCCTTAAGGAAATACGTTGCATGCATTGTGTTGGCTAGTGTTATTGCACCATTACAAAGACAATCACCTTTTACAGCCTTTTGAGCATTGTCATGAATAAGTGATGACCGGTAAGACTCTTCACATTTTACGAAACACAGTATCTCCACTGAAATAACGCTACCTGCATTGTACCACAGATAACATATACTAAGGTGTTAAAGTTTTTGTCAATAATTTCTATTAAACTCAATTTTGTAACAACAAAATCAGATACCGTAATGGCTGTTATCCCAGACGGGGTAGTCAGGGTCATTATCAAATTTTATTATAGTGAACGCAACACTTAACACATAACTTAAATCACTTGATATATTTTGAACTATATACATTTTAAGTTCTCAAAATTAGTAGGTATGAGTTTGACATTCCCATGTATGTAAACAATCAAACGAGTTTCTACAACTACTTCGTTAACAATAATGTACGAAATCTTCTCATTATGAAATAATGAAAAGTAAAAATTCCTGCAGAATTTAAATACCGATTAAAAAAACTTTTAAAATGGGTTGAAATTATAAAGGCATTTTAACTACTAGATAGAAGCTAATATTTCATTAAATTTTATTTCATTAATATGCCTTTATAATATTATTTTATATTAAATTTAAATCATTAAACCACATATATAAAAACACCTATATAAAAATACATTCAATTGAAAAAAAAAAGTAATTCAATTGAGTTTCTTGCCAGTTCTTCTCAATTGGATCTATATACCGAACTGGACGGTAGGGAAAAAATAAAATTATATTTAAAAATTTGACGTTCATAAGCGGCTAAAATGTCATACATGAATAAATGATTTTTGAATTTTGAATAGACTTCTATAGGTAAGCATAAGGCAAAGTTTGAATGTTAGATATTTTGTTTTGATATGAAAAGTGAACATCTGTTGCTTAATCATTATTTTTCAACGACAACAACAACTGACGACCTTTAGCACATAATATGTGCACTATCACATAATAAACGTGTATACGCTGTCATTTGAAGCTAATTAACATTATTTTACTCGCATATTTATCATCATAAATTTATTCTATTGCTTTGTTCTATTTAATTTCTTTCGTGATAATGATTACAACCTTTGTATTGTTCATGATCTGATTTTATATGCACTATTTTTTCAAAAATAAAGCATTAAAAAGAAAATACAATACAGACGGCGATGTTATCATTTTTTGAAAAGATATTAATAAAAAATACATTGTAAATGAGTAAAAAAATATTTAAAAACTTCAGAGTTCAAATATTTGCTTGTAACACCTTGTTCTTCTGCCATGGTTCTCAATATTCTTATTTGACATAGCTTATGAAGATGAATACAGAACTACTATGCTTTATACTGGGATCACTAGAAGGAATGCGGCAGACAATAACAATATCTGCCTAGTATCTAAATAACTGGTGATTACGTATACGCAATAGAGGAGACACCGCAATCAAAGCACATTATTATTTGTGGTTAACGCGGCCACGTGATTTCTTCGCTGATTACTTCACTTTCTTCACTCGCCTTAACACACCGTGAAATTAAATTTAAAAGTAAGTGTACCTGCATCTCACAACAACAGTCGATCACCTCATATTGTAATACACACAAATCTACGAATATAAATAATATAGAGCAATAACACAGGTATAGACAGTTTTTTTGTCTCCTGGCTTCTAAAGCACAAATCGTATTTTATATAATACATAATTATAATAATAATAATAATATATTTTATTGACACCAATTTAAGTAGTTACAGTTATTCTCCTTATAAATTATTACATTTTTGTTAAATACGCATCATACATATACAATTGGTATCTATTGACATCAAATTTATCTATATTTATAACAAAATTATACATCACATGAATATTTGTAATGTGATCCCCGAAATATTGTTTTTAATCAACGGTTTACGATGATTAATATTTTAACAATTAAATAAATTACTGCTATTAGCAGATATCAGACTAATACCAGAGATATCCTATAGATTTATTAACCTATTATTTGGTGTCCACGCAGTAAATTCTATTCTTCCTCTGATCGCTATCAGCCGTCACATCTAAACTGACAGATTTAGCCAATTTATGTAGGTATTATTTATCATAAACCAACAATAACATTTAAATTAAAGTTGAAATCGTTCAACTTTGCATCAGTGCTACAGCCTATATCCCTATGCATGATTGCGTTTGATCCGCTCGACTCAACGTTGCTTCATTTGGAACACCACAACGTACATACAATTGAACTACAAACGCTCCTCTTCATTTCCAATAGAATTAAACAACCTCTTCAATTAGGCTGTAATCTTCATCAAGTCTACGCCAAAGAATATGCTAATTTTATGCCAATAATGAATTTCTAAATTATTACTATACATCAAATCAAACTTATATAGTAGTGTCTAAACCGACATTTATTTGGTTTTGGAAATACTACACATATGTGTATTTTAATAACTAAATGGTTAAAATAACTCCACAAAGTCCATATAGAATTGATATCTCTATATAAACAATGTCCGGCCGAATAATATAATAATATATAATAATAACCACATTTTTAATGAATTGATAGTTAACTATCTATAATAAATCTTAGCGCTTAACGATCATAATC